GGCAGTAGCATGGAATTGTGTGTTGTTCCCCCTCCCACTGCTGCCAGGCAAACGGGGCACCTTACCTTGGCATGGCTGGCACGGGGCTTCTAGCAGCAGTGACAATAGCACTGAGTTTCCTTGCCCCAGCCCACCCTCCTGTGCCAGGTCTTGCCCACTGGGCCACAGAGACAGCTCCTGCCCAGTGCCGGTCCAGCCAGGCTGCAGCCCTCTGCCCCATTGTCTGTGTAAAAGTCATGAGGCGCACATGCCCCCTGCCCCCATACCCCTCCAATGCATTGCCAATGGGCCTGCCTGGATGGTCCCTAAGCCCTGGCTCCCTCCCCATCCTCCTGCCTCCCCCCTGTCCCATGGACTTTTATTCAGCTGCTGGGGCTGCTCCAACCACCCCACCTGGCTGTATTGCTGACTGTGTGTGTCTATACACACGCACGTGGCGTCCCCTGCCTCCATTCGCATTCCCCACAGCTCCTTGCAGCCTGGAACAGCCAGCCTTCAAGGTGGGGCATGCAGTTTCCCACTTCAAAGAGAAAAATCTTTTTTTTTTTTTTTTCCCCCCCCATGCAAAATGGAAAACCCCAGATCCCTGCTGATTAGTACTACATGATGAACAGTTGTGGTTCTACATACAAAACACTTTTACATTTGCTTTGGGGATGGGGGGGGGGCTCTTTAACTGGAGTGACTTAGAGAGCTGTTCTAATTTAAAGCACCTCAGCATCTCATGTATTGGCATCCCTGTGCTTTAAAATGACAGCGGGGGGCAATTGAACTAAAGCTCATGAGCTTTAATTCAAGCGCTCCCACCACAATTTTTAAGTGCAGAGACGCTGATGCATGAAATGCAAGGGGCTACTGGAGCACAGTAATTGCCACGATCCAGTAGATTCGATTAATCAAGTCTGCTCTGATGTGCTGTAATTGCAGTGTGTCAGAGCAGCCTCCATGCTCATCTACAGGCAGCCAAAGTTACTAAAAAGATTTCCCAATCTGGTGGGAAAGATTCATAGAAGTTGCTCTTGGCAGAGTAATTCCAAAGCTGTTATTAGGACTGGACAAGGTTTTACTTTTACGTTCACCTGTCTGTAATTGCAGTTATTCTTTCCCTCCTCATAAACAATATCATCATAATGCAGTGGTGCTTAACCTTCTGGCTCCGTGGGCCAGATGAGTGGTATGAGACTGACCCCAGCCTGTGAGATCCGTCTGTGAGCTGGATCCAGAATGTGGTCAATCCATAGGTGTGATTAGGTATACCAGCCTGGCCCTGTGCAGTGGACCTGCAATCCCACATGTCAGGAGCAATCCCACATGTCAACCAATTGCCATGCACTGGATACAGCCACAGAGTGACCTTGTGCACTAGCACGATCCAGCACATGGGAGCCTTGTGGGCCAGATGACACTGTCCCTACAGGTCTGGAAATTTGGTAGGAGAGTGATAGCAGTGTTAATTACCATGGCTCTGGAAGCTGTGACAATTTATGTTTCTCCACCATCCCTGCCACCAAGTTTCCAGACCTGTGGGGAGCCCCATTGTTGGTAACCTGGCTCTGTGGGCCAGATTCAGCCTATGGGTTGGAGGGTAGGCACTAGGCCTGTGCAAAACGGCTAGTATTCGCTTTGAATTCGGATTCTGCCGATTTTCGGGGGACAGTTATTCGATTCAGTGATTCAAATCACTGTCCCAAATTGATTTGGCCAAATCTGATTAGGAGATTTGGCTGCTACTGAATTGGCAGAATCTCTTAATCGAATAGGCCCCGTTCCCTACCCACTCTCCCAGCCCCATCAATGGCTGCCCCGCCCAGGCCCAGCGTCCCAGCGCTTTAAATAAATAAATAATCCTCATGCTCACCAGCTCCTGCCAAGTGGTGGGGGGGGGCAACCCCTGCTGCCCGCTACTGTCCCATGCTGTGTGAAGGGTTCTGCTGCAAGCCCACATAGGCTATGACGGCCTCTGCTATACCCAGTGAGTGGCCTTTTTTCTTTTTTTAAAGTGCTGGTACACAGGCCAGGTGGGGCAGCCATTGTCAAGGCTGGG